TTGTTATTGTGTTCATCGATGATATCTTAGTCTACTCAAAAAGCAGAGAAGAGCATGCTCACCATCTATCTCAAGTTTTGCAGATCCTCAGAAAGAAGAAGATATATGCAAAGTTGAGTAAGTGTGGATTCTGCCTTGAGCAGACCACCTTCCTAGGACACATCATATCAAAAGAATGAGTATCAGTAAATCCCGAAAAGGTTGAAGCGGTACTTGGCTGGAAAAAGTTAACATCAGTTAAGGAGATCCGTAGCTTCCTGGGAATTGCAGGTTATTACCGCAGGTTCGTCAAAGAATTCTCTATTCTAACGGCTCCCCTAACCTGGCTCACAAAGAAGAATGCCAAGTTTGAGTGGAATGAGAACTGTAAGAGAAGTTTTTCAGAATTAAAGGAGCGGCTGACCACTGCACCCGTACTGACTTTACCGAGTGCATCGGGGGGATATACAGTTTATAGTGATGCCTCCTATCTAGGTTTGGGTTGTGTTCTGATACAGCATGGGAAGGTCATAGCCTATGGGTCCAGACAGTTAAAGAATCATGGTGGAATGAGATGAAGAGGGACATAGCTGACTTTGTATCTAAATGCTTGGTATGTCAGCAGGTCAAAGCAGAGCATCAACGCTCAGACGGGTTACTTCAGCTCTTACCGATCCCGGAGTGAAAGTGGGAACATATCGTCATGGATGTCGTAACGGGATTACCCAAGGCACGTTCAAGACATGACGCCATCTGGATAATTGTTGACCGGCTTACCAAGTCTTCCCACTTCTTAGCCATCAGGATGACCGATCCCTTGAACAAGTTGGCAAGAATGTATATTCGAGAAATAGTCAGATTGTATAGAGTTCCAGTGACAGTGGTATCCGACAGGGACCCCAGGTTCACTTCTCGGTTTTGGAGTAGCTTTCAGCAGGCCATGGGAACAAAGCTGTCTCTCAGTACTGCATTCCATCCTCAGACGGATGGACAATCAAAAAGGGCAATCCGTACACTTGAGAATATGCTCCGAGCTTGTGTTCTTGACTCTGGGGCCGTTGGGACAACCATCTACCCCTGATAGAATTTGCCTACAACAACAGTTACCAAGCGAGCATTGGCGTGGCTCTGTATGAGGCGTTATATGGGCGCCTATACAGATCACCGATTTGTTGGGAAGAAGTGGGCGATAGAAAATTGTTCGGCCCGGAGTTGGTAGAGGAGACCATGTCTAAAATAGTTAAAATCAGAAAGAACATTCAGACGGCTCAGTGCAGGCAGAAGAGTTATGCAGACACCCGAAGAAGAGATTTAACGTTTGAATAAGGCGACCGGGTGTTCCTTATGGTCACTCCTTTTAAAGGAATTAGTAGGTTCGGTAGGAGGGGAAAACTAAACCTCCGATTTATTGGACCATATGAAGTCTTAGACAGGATTGGTACTGTCGCCTACAGACTAGCACTGCCTCCAGAGCTCTCCAAGGTCCACAATGTGTTCCATATATCCATACTACGTAAGTACAACCTGGACCCCTCTCATGTCTTGGCTCATGAACCACTTCCACTTTAAGAGAACTTATCTTATGAGGAAGTATCAGTCAATATCACGGACCGAAAGAGCAGAATACTCCGCAACCGGGAAATATTATTTGTACAGGTAGTGTGGCAGAACCACTCGCCAAGGAAGGCTATCCAGGAGTTAGAATCAGACTTTAGAGCCCACTATCCCCATTTGTTCGACCAAGAGTAAGAAGCAAATTTGGGGAACCAAATTTCTTTAAGGGGGGGAGAGTTGTAACACCCAAAATTTTCCTTTATTATTTTATTTTGATTTTTTTATTTTATTTTTTATTAGAATTTTATTTACTTTTATTCTATTTTAATTTTTAATTTATAAGGTTTTAATTTAATTTAATAGAAATAAAAATAATAATAATAATAAAATAGGGTAAAATTATTTTTTGGATTTAATTGAAATTGATTTTGGGAAAAATTGGTGAAATTTTGGATTATTGGAGTATTTTTTAAAAGAAAATCGAAAACTGGGGGTCAAAACGCAATTTAGAAAAATAGTGTCACGTCAGCAGCCGAGTCAGCAGCCAAGTCAGCAGCCCCGGCCAATTAGGACACACCGTGTGGTAGGGACACTGACGCAGGAAGCCACGCGGGACGGAGACACGTGGGCGATCCGCGTGCGCGCGATCGGACGGCCCAGATCCATTCCAACACGCACGGACGGCTCAGATCAAAGGCGCGCGTGGATGGCCCATATCTCACGCTTGCGGACGGTCCAGATTTGGTCATGCACGAACGGTCTAGATTTATTTCTAATTTAATCGCGATCCGACGGCCCATATTAAATCATGATGGACGGCTCAGATTAAAAGGGGAGGGTTATAAATAATCGCATCCACTCCCAACCCCAAACCCTAACCCTAACCGCGAGAACCCTCGCCGGAGAAGAGGACCCAGCCACCGGAGGAACCGGCCGCCACCACCCGCCGCCGCACTTGAGGACCTTCCGGCCACCAAATGAGGTAAAATTTCTTCTCTTGGCTCGTTTTTCGATGCCGAACCTCCCTGTGGCCAAATCGGAGCCAAACCACCAGCCGATTAGCCGGAAAGCACCGCCGAAGTCCAGCGGCGCCGCAGCGAGTTTCTTCGATTTTTGCCTCCGATGAAGCCCTTCTCATTTCCCGTTCGATGTAATTTTTATACCACTGTGACTACAGTTCTTTTCTCTACAAGTTGACCGGAGAAAAACACCGAATCGCAACTCGCGCCGGAGGAGCCGCCGCACCCAAGAGCTTCGCCGCCGGTGAGTCTCGATTTTCTGGAATTTTTTGGCCCACCGAGGGCCCTAGGGGTGTTTTATCACAGGAACCAATGCAAGTTTAGCCGAATTCAGCCGAAAACGGTTAACCCGAGGCGGATTGCCGCCGTGGGCGGTGGCGCCGTCACTGAAGCATGGCGGAGCCGCCGTGCCGGAATTCCTAAATTGGTCGAAAGGGACCTGGGTCTGATTTGGGATTTTTTGGGGATATGTGCAGGTACCAGAAGTGTGTTTCAGTTTCCGGAGAAAAATTCAGGGAATCTAAGAACTGCTCGTAGGTGCAGTGAGAACTCGATTTCAGACTCCGAAACAAGTAAGGATCCCTCACCCTATTTCCTATCATGGTATTAAAGCTTAATATATGATTAAACAATATTTTATGAATTAATAGATATGTATAATTAATTAAAGATTGCCAATGGGGCCCGAACCTGATGTATTTGTCGGTCTGTTCCTGTTTGATGTATTTTACAGTCTAAATGCAGTATAGTATTTGATTGTTTATTCTGTGGTTTCATATGCATGAATAACTGTTTAATCCATTATGCTTTGAATTATTGTGGACTTGATGTTGTGTTGTCTTGTTTGGTGTGCGTTGCTGGTTTACGTATTTATGTTGATTGGGTAATTGAGACTAAGAAAAATAAAAAGGGTATGTGAATTTATAAATGGATAAGTCGACAGCCTCACTAGATATCCTGAGAGATGGTGGACGGACCGGATTTATAGAGAACCCTACCGGGAACGTGGTCTCTCATATCGGACGGGGTATGGAGACTTTAAATGTTTTGGCGCTCATACCGGACGGGGTATGGAGACGGCCCGCTTCACCCTCATACCGGACGAAGTATTGAGGTTTATGGTTTTGGCGCTCATACTAGACGAGGTATGGGGACGGCCTTAGAATTAAGATGAATGGTTCACGTGTAGCGGAGACCCCTATGGATCCCCATGGATACTAATAGACTGCCTGATGATTGAAATACAAAAGTATGACATGTACTATAATACAGATTATGTATGAATTCATGATATTTATGATGTTATTGTTTCTATAGATCATTTTTATGAATCTCACTGAGATAAGTGGACAGTAAAGATTTTTATTATTGATAAATGAGTTTGTTATAAATTATGCTCCATTGGTCGTTTTTATTTTTTACCAACCTTTACTTCTGTGACAGTGAGATAGTGTGATGTCCTTACTGAGTTAGTGTAACTCATTCCTTACTTAACCATTTCAGATTAAGAGGACTTGGTTCCCGAGTCCGTTCTGCAGAAAGATGGCGAGTAGAAGCCAAAGAATTTATTAGTTTTCCTTATAGCATTCATTCATAGTATTTTCTTTAAATTAGTTTATTTTTTCATACGTTAATTCGTTTTGTTTATTGTGTAAGAAATGTTAATCATAATCTATTTTATTTCGCTTGCATACTTAGAATAAATATATACATTTCCTTTTATTTCCGGGGCCGTTACACATTATGAGTTAACTCCGAACACCTCCGTTATGTACCTTAGAGAAAGAGAAATACATTCTCATTTATTTCTTCATTGCAAGACAGCTTGGAAAACTTGGACAAAAATGTTGTCTTTTCGGTATTAGAGGGTGTGTTCTCCGAAAATTGAGAGCCCCTTGGGTGTATACATTAGAGGTGATGGAGTGAGATTTCACCATTGTGGCATGGAAAATTTTTTTCAGGTCTATGGAGTTTTTGGCTCGGAAAATTTTCAAGGATTAGTTATGTTGTACTATGAGTTATGGGAAAGAATGAATTTTTTGGCAAAATTACAGGTTAAGGTGCACGGAAAATTCTCAGATATAACTATTTCCAACCTCTACTGGAATTGAAAGATTATTATTTTGGGCACTTAGGATCAGATTTTTATGTATTATACCTCTCTATATTGTTTTGCTCATTATAGCTTGTTTTGACTAGGAGGATGTCTTACCCTCTATTGTTTGTACTATTTTCTTTTCTCTTAATAAAACTTCTTCTTCTATGAAAAAAAAAAAAGAAAGAAAAAAAAAATTCTTGCTTCAATAAAATCACGAACAGATTCCAAGATATACCATCAAGATTCTTTTTGTTTTCAGTTAAATACAACCATAATTTAGAAACGTAGATTCCAATGAAAATGCTAGCTAAACTATTAAAGACTTTTTTCATAGAAAATAGCTTCCTCACCTTTCTCCCATCAAATCTTTGTTTAAGCTCTCTTACGTGGTCCTGGACTTGAGGAAGCTCAAGGGCTCGTATGAATCGATCAGAATCGATTCCAATAGGAAACTATAATTTCAAAATCCAGAAAGAGAAATAGAAAAGACTGGCATCATTAAGAAAAAAAGATCAAGGGCAATACAGATAATACATACATATATATACCGCTAACAAACCAATGAATAGGGGAAAATAAATTTCTGGATTGCAAGATTATAGATAAATAAATCCATACATACCGCAGCCACCCGAGTCAGCTTTCCTTGATCCTCTACTCCTTCAGGTGTACCCTCCAGCCCAAGAATACGAGTACAAGCACTTACAAAATGTCTTGCATAATCATATGTATGAAACCTGGAAGATAAGAAATAATAGTTAAAATTATGGTTACAAATTGAGAACTGGATATAAGAAAATCCTGCGGCTGAGAAACAAAGTTCAGGCAATTATATCATTGCAGTGCGAGTAAATTTTTACCCATAACATGCAAAAATGAGATTGATTTATTGTCCTGTACAGGTAAGAGCAGTTACTTCTCTTCTTTAAGAAAACATTTTATTCACAAGAACACCAAGACTAAGTAAAAATTTGCAGCTGCTTGTTTACAAATTGAAGATTCTGTGAATTTACGAGATCCCATTTCATCCCCAAAGCGTAATCAATCAATGTAAAAACAAAATATTATGAAACCAACTACCTGTGCTTGGGAAAAGAACACTCTCCTGACCATCTAAAGGTCTTACATTTTGCCTCTCTTAAACCCAACCACACAACAGTAACAAAACATTAAAGCACAAGCTTTATTGGCTTCCTATTGGATAAACAACCATCCCTGAAGGACCTCAATAACGAATGGCTCTACAGCCCACTTAATCCAATGATGAGAGGCATAAGCTGTCAGAAAATCTAGACAAATGTAAGATCAAGGCAAAAACTGATTTCCCAATTTAGCTTCGTATGCTTACATAAAAATATATCCAAGTACTTCAAAGGCCATAAAACAAGAATTTTACACGTTAGAAGTGTTTGCAGATTGTACATGAACAAAATGACTCAGAAATTTTTATACCTCATGCTAAGACGTGGAAGTGTTTTCTAATACAGTTAATTCAAATACTTCTTCTGTGACAGTAAATTCGATATGCAATCTGAATATGATTTGATCTGGTAATTGTTTGTGTTCTGTTTTCTTTCATATTGTTTCGATAAAACTCCACCGGAGTTTAAGGCAACCTTTCCTGCAATTGTCAATCAAGATTCAAATCTAAGATAACCTCTATGTATCCTTTTGGCACATTCAAGTCGAAATCAGTTTCTATTCAACATAGAAGTCATCATCTAAAGACCTGACAAGAGATGCTAACAAGCCACTGGATATGTTTGGTTTTGATGTGTTTCTGAATTGGAGCACAAGTTGGACTGGATATGTTTGGTTTTAATGTGTTTCCTGAATTGGAGCACAGGTTCGACTGGGATAAATTTGTGAACCTGTACCAGAAACTGTATTGACGTACAGAAGATATTTATACAGAATAGCTTTTTAAATCGGCAAAGAGTGGAGGGAAAAATAATTGGGACCCAACCTTCTCAAGAGGTTGTATTAGAAAGTCCATAGATTAGAAATGCAGTCTATAAGACTTTGATTCCCACAAAAGTTTATGGTTGTACCAGAACTAACTCTCCTTATTGGCAGCATAACTCAAGTTTATGGTTGTACCAGAACTAACTCTCCTTATTGGCAGCATATAAGAGTTTGCCTGTTTATGCCTATTTATGCTTACACCCACCTTTCCATAGCAAGTAGCATGTAATATCTTGTATCCAAACACTACTAACCCAATAACTTTTTAAACTCAAACGACTGACTCTTAAAAACTAAATTATTAATAGTGTGTGACTTGAGATCTTATATAAAATGCGACAATCACATATTTTTCTGATGTGGGATTGGAGCATCACAATATTCACCATTCAAATATTTGATATCCTCATCAAGACATATATTGCAATCACAAAAGCTACAAAGTTCCAAAGTAGAACTAGCTTGAGGTCATCAAATTAGCACATATTCTAATGCCGGTTATAATATCCAAGATTCAAGCACCACCTTGTCCAACAACTTTTTATACTCAAACTACAAAATTCTCAAAAATTTAAACTCGAGTTATTCATAATATGGGACTTGAACCTTTTTATGGAGCTAAAAAATCACTTTTTTTACCGATGTGCAATTGAAGTACCACATACCAAGCAACATATAATGTGCATTAGGTAAAATCCAGCATAAGACCGTCTCCAGAACACATGAATACTTATGGAAGATTGCACTATGGGATGAAAGGAACTACAGCGATTGGATTCAAGTAATTGGGATTGGCTTTACTGACGTTGGCGTCTGAAGTACAGCTAAATTGTGAATGGTCTTCTCATGATGTAAAACAGTAGGTGCTTGACACGATACTTTTCTTATGCTGATAAGATATAAAACTAGTATCAGCAAGATGCATCTTTATCTTAATTCTTTTAAATATCATTCCTTGAGCAAAAACGCTTTTAAATATGAACTCACTTGAGTTATATTAAACAGTTAGAAGATAAAGTGAATGAAATGCCCTGAACATATGAAGCACCAACACAAGTATTATTTAAGAAGGAAGAAATAGGTCTTCCAAAAATGCCAACCCAAGTAGCAACGTAGATGACAACCAAACATATAAAGAATGAAGGGCACATAAAAACTACTTGCATAAAATTCAAAGCATTATGCTGAAAAGTTTACCCGACTAAATCAGCAGCAAGAACAGATCTTAATAGTTCTGACCGAGATGGTAGGGTCCTATGTATTTCTGAGGATGGAAAGGGTGTATGAAGGAACCAGCCAACTTTCATCTTATTGTTACGTTCTTTTAGACACTGCGGGAGAAACATTAGGTGATAATCATGACACCAAACAACATCACCTTCTTCATAGTGCTTGTTTACCACATCAGCAAACATCTGGTTTGCCTTCTTGTATGCATCAAATTGGGACTGAAAACTTCTGGTGGTTGCAAGACGATCTTCTTGTGGAAGGCCAAGATAATGAAAAAGAGGCCACAAGATGTTGTTACAATAACCATTGTAGTATTGATGAACAGTTTCCTCGTCCAGAAACACTGGAATGCACCTCTGCAGGCAGCAGAAGAAAGTTTGAAGGTGAGAACATTATCACTAATCCCCATAGGTTCAAGGAGAAATGAAACTTCGGTATGGTAACACAGGATTATAAGAAAAATAATATGCATCAACTTGACAGGAACTTCAAGATGTAACCAACATTTTTAAACCTTTTCAGCTAAAGCTTTAGTTAGTGCTCTTTGTCCAATATCATCAGGTACATTAACACCAGCCCAACCAATCCATCTAGCTTCAAATTCCTTCACACCTTAAAGAAGATAACTAGGCATCAGTTCGCCTTAACTTCACAGCTAAAAGAAAGCAACCTTATATAATTAAAAGACAAATAAAGGATTGTATATGCATATCCATTTCAACTAAAATGAGAGTAATAAACAAAATTAAATAAGATAATTCCCTGCAAAAATAATACAGAAAAACATACATGAATGATGCAAAAGATGTCCAAAGGATCAAGCGGATAATTCAGTGATACTCACCCAGAAGTGCACTGACTAGTCCCCCAACACTAATTTCAAGATGCCATACATCGTCCCCCCGCCTCACAGCAGAGACAGGTAACCTGTTGGCAACCACTAGTAAACGCTGTTTAGAAGTCCACCCCTCTTGTCTTTCACCTCCATCAGCTGAAGTTCTTGCTGCAGCAAACCCTTCCATAATTTCTTCCTCAAAGGACCGAACAAAATTTTCACAATCAGTTGGAGACAAGTCATTGCCAAAGAAATCAGCTTCTCCCTTACTTGGACTTGAAGACCTGTTTAT